CCTTTCAAAATTTCAGCAAAATAACAACACTAAATAATAAAAAAAAAACAATAAAGAGAAAAATACGTTTCATCTATCTATTTCTGGACACCGTGGCTGGTAGGCTTCGTATTTCTCCTGAAACCGACAGCCGGACCGTAGATCCGGTAGATTCTCGGCCCACCCTCGTTGTAGACCCCGTATTACCGTAAGGTTTCCACAAGATATGAATAACAGAATACTTCCACGAGTTCAATTTCACCCGACGAAAACACTATTACGTTCAAGTTTTCGAGACGCCACTGTCGCAACCGCAGGACTTGCGATGAGAGGGCGTTCAGAAGGTAATACAACCAAATTAAATTAAAAATAAAAATATTAGATTTCTGTTTATAGCGACGAAGTTGCCGCGAGCCGGTACTGGCAGCCAAGTAACCTCACCGGAACAAGAGACGACTACAAAGCGCAGCATACCATAAAATGGCCAACCGCCGCCGAAAACATCCATTTATGTTAGACGCCGTCGACGTTTGAGCACCTGCTATAATACGACCGTTCGCGTTTCACTGTCGAACATAATTCTTCATTACGCGTCAGCATTATGGCGAAACACATGGCGATAGTTGCCACAGGCGTCCCGCGCAAATATTTTAACCGGTAGTATAACCCTTCATGAGTTTTCAAAAGTCTCCGAATTTTAAAAACAAGCGCTAAAAAATTCCTATCCCCATCACTTTATTTTATAAGATAAAAAAAAAAAAAAAAATCCAGAAAGATCCATTAAATTTTGCAAAAATACTTTGGAATTCTCAAAGTACAACCTGACTTCTGTGAAACGATAGAGGACAGAAGTTCTATGCCTGCGTTTTCGGGGACACTCCGGTGAACATGGTTTCTCGAAAAATTCATTATTTCATCAAAAATAAAACCTCTGTATAGAATCGTGGTTAACATTATTCGTTTAAATTCCTTTTAAAATTCTCAAAATATGTAAAAACAAGAGTGTGTTTTTCCTCAAGACAACCGTTTTTTAAATAACAATATTGTAAGATTTTGAGGGAAGTTTTCACCCTTCTTGAAGCCTCTGAGAATCGAGAGTCCCTTCTGTCGAATCTTCTATTGTTTACTGAAATCATCATAGTTTGGTATAGAATCGTGTTTACTCAATAGTCATATTTTGTTAATAATTGCATAAATTTCTAAAAATCTTAAAAGGTAAAACAACAAAACAAAATATATACGTGTTTAAGAGTTTTTCCGAAAAAACTCAGCGGTTTTAAATAAAAAATATTCTAATATTTAAGGGTGGTTTCACCCCCCTTAGAATTCGAATTTTGAAAACTCCTTTATCAAACCTCTACAATCTCTAAAGTCAATCTGTTCTCCAAAAATCAGCTTTTACGTCAAGCGCCTTCTTTAAGCAGGATCGTCATTAATCAATGACCAGATTTTTGAAACACCCCATACATTTTTAAGAAATCTTAAAATATGCAAATAAAACAAAATAAAATATACGTGTTTAAGCTGTTTTTCGGAAACTTGACCGTTTTAAAATAAAAAAATATTGTAATATTTGAGGGGTGGTTTCAACCCTTTAAAATTCGAGTTTCGAAAATCCCTTCTTATCGAACCTCTACACTCTAGAATCAACCTGTGTGCCAAAAATTGGAGCTTCACAAGCTGAGTGGTTTAAGCAGGATCGTGATTAATCAGTGAGTCAGTCACTCAAGGATTTTATATATTAGTATAGATTAAGAACTTCTATTAGTTAATACCCTCATTAGTTTACCATTCTTGGGATTGTCCCACTTAATTAAAAAATTAAAAAAAAAAAAAAAAAAAAAAAAAAAAAAAAATATTAATATTAAACTAAAAAATCCTTGTGCCATGAAACAATGATAATTTTGTTGCAGGTATAGAAGCTTTAGCCAGAAATGGCGACTTACTTCATCGTCAGACCCCTCAAGATTTACGAACTATACTGGAAGCACTCTACGGCAAGAGAAACGTAGCCTATCTGGCCAGGATTTATCCAAATACAAAAATACGTGATAAACGATCCACCAGTAGCCTGGCTAAAACAGGTGATCTACCCTACGCTTATGGCAAGCGAAGTATACAAAGTCTGGCAAGGGATGGAGTATTAGGAAAGAAATCAGGTATGTATTTGTTACTTCTCGGTCATAAAATAGTCTATAAACCAAAAATTTAAAATTAGAGTATCTTTTAGCACCCTAATAAGATAGGTTTGGTGTATTCTCTGCCGGTGCTGCTACCATCGTAGAATATCGTAAAACAACTAGTATACAAAATACAGGGTTTAAATAGGCGTATAATGAAAATTTTATTATTTAATTATTCTAAATAAAAAAAAAAAAAAAAAAAAAAAAATTGTAAAATAAAAAATTAAAAAGTAAATATTTTGATATCTCTAGAAGGTCTACTTGTATTATAATTCTATTATTCCAGTTAAAAAACTTTTTGATGAGTTCAATTACGGTAGCGAGCATAGTTTTAATCACCGCTTTTGCTAGTAAGTACAATTGGGGCTATTCAATATACAGAATTTTTTAAAGGTACATAATTATAATTTTAGAAGATGTTCATAAAAGATTTAAACACTCCAGTTGATTAAAAAAGTATAGCTTCATGTATTTCAAGTGATTTCAACAAATACCGACCGTATGCCTCAACGGCAGAAATCCAAAATTATCAGTATGTATTTCACGCCACCGTCATGTTGATCGCATTAAAATTAAAACAAAAAAAAAAAAAAATTTAATAATCAAATATTTATATTTATTTTCGGTATTTTATATATTTTGCTAGATATATTCGACCTCTATTGTGAACATACCGGGTGTTTTTCAAAAGTGGCTGTTTTACCAGATATCTCGCATTGCAAATTATAAGTTTTATCCTCTCATAGTAAATGTCTATTTAAATTTTTGATTATGTAGCGAGCACTTTGTTTACTCACTTGTTTCTTCAAACTGCTTGAATCCACTTTTCATCATCAATCAAATCAATCAATTAAATCGGTGTGAAAAACTATGAAGTTATAAAATGTTGTTACGGGAGAGTTGAATATCCTGGAAAGTTGAGAGTTGGCTGAATGTTAAATACAGAAAAGTCCACAGACTTCGAGACATAGAAAAATCAAGTCCATTTAACGTGTGTCCAAATTTTGAAGTTTTCAAAATAACAGCTTTTGTTTAGACTGACGTTTAATTTCACTTGACCTCTCTCGGTGAATACTTTTATGGGGTACATAAATCTAAAATTTACGGCCATGAAGAAATTCAAAACTTGGAGCAGTTACGGCAGAAAATATTTAATGCCTTTGACACTGTCACCCCTGACATGTTATCCAATGTGAGGAGAGGGGATTTTATGATCGTTTGGGTTATTGTTTAATGCAAGAGGGAGGCATTTTTGAACAATTTTTGTAATTTTTTAAATTTCATTATCCTGTTTTTTACTGTTTACCCATTACCTACCTTACGAACATGGGAAAACAACATTTTGATTGAGAAATTTGTTACTTTTATTTTTTTTTGATTAAAAGCAAAGTTAATATAATACCAATTTAAAAGTGTTTTTAGTAGTTTTAATACACACTAAGTATATAAAATTTATTATTATTATAATAATGTACATTATTAATACTATTATTCATTCGAATTGGCATTAAGGCCCAATTGCACCAATGATTTAAATTTTTCTTAAAGATAAGTAGAGCTTAGAATGAGCTGTATTTATATTTACTTTAATATTCACCTTAAATGAGGGAATTTGACTGATGCAAATTTTTGAATATTGAATCTGTTTTTACCTATACTACCAAATTTTAGTCTCAATTTTAATAAAAATTTATTTCAATATTAATAGAAACCAAGATGCCTGAAACCTCTTTTAGCGATTGATACCATTCTCAAATGAATTACAGGTGCCCTTATTTCTATGAAAAACCTCCTCATTAATAGCTTTTCTTTCAGTCGCCGCAGTTGGGTTATGGTAGCCATAAAAAACGCTCAATTTTAAGGTGTGAAAATTGGGACACACGCTAAATGGACTTGATTTTCCTATGTCTTGAAGTCTGTGGACCTTTCTGTATAGTACAACAACGCCCTAATTACGCTGTCTCTTATTTTTTCGGCAATTTTATTAGTTAAGGCTGAAATTGTCACAAAAAAGCACAATACGACGCCTAGTTCGAATCTTTTCTTTATTTTTACTACCCTGAAACAGCGTTACACTCAATAAAAACCTCGTTCTTGAGTGTTTTATAGTTCAATAACCGCACTAAAGCAAAAAACTAAAATATAAAAAATAAATATAAATATTTAATTATTAAATATGATTTGACAAACTTTTAATTTTAATGCGATCAACATGACGGTGGCGTGAAATATATACTGATAATTTTGAGTTCCACTGCCGAGGCGCTGCGGTCGCAGTATTTGTTGAAATCGCCGGAAATACACCAAGCCTATACTTTTTTTTAATCAACTAGTGTTTAAATCTTTTATGAACATCTTCTAAAATTATAATTATGTACCTTAAAAAAAAAATTCTAGAGTGAAGCCGAATAAGGCCCCAACTATGCCCCACTAGCAAAACCGGTGATTAAAATTATGCTCGCTACCGTAATTGAACTCATCAAAGTTTTTTTAACTTCCGGAATAATAAATTATAATACAGCATCTTCTGAAGATATCAAATATTTACTTTTTAATTTTTATTTTACAATTTAAAAAAAAAAAAAAAAAAAAAAAAAATTAATATTCAAATAATAAAATTTCGTATACACCCTATTTAAACCCCTGTATTTTTGTATATACTAGTTTGCTTTCATGATATTCTACGATGGTAGCAGCACCGGCGGAGACGATACCAAGCCTACCTATATCTTCTTTATTATTAAAGATACCCCCATCTTGGAATTTTTGTTGAGATCATTTTCTTTTTATGACCGAGAAATATAACAAATACATACCTGATTTCTTTCGATTTCTTTCCTAATACTCCATCCCTTGCCAGACTTTGTATACTTCGCTTGCCATAAGCGTAGGGTAGATCACCTGTTTTAGCCAGGCTACTGATGGATCGTTTATCGTATTTTGTATTTGGATAGATCCTGGGTCAGATAGGCTACGTTTCCTCTTGCCGTAGAGTGCTTCCAGTATAGTTCGTAAATCTTGAGGGGTCTGACGATGAAGTAAGTCGCCATTTCTGGCTAAAGCTTCTATACCTGCAACAAAATTATCGCATTGTTATCTGGCACAAGGATTTTAGTTTAATATTAATAATTTTTTTTTTTTTTTTTTTTTTTTACAAATTTTAACTTTATATTTATGGGACAACTCCCAAGAATAGTAAACTAATGAGAATCATATTAACTCAATGTTCTTAATCTATACTAATATATAAAATCCTTTGCGACTGGACTCACTGATTAATCACGATCCTGCTTAAAACCACTCAACGTAAGAAGCTCAATTTTGGCACACAGGTTGATTCTAGAGTGTGTAGAGGTTCGATAAGAAAGGATTTTTTTTTTTTTTTTTTTACATATTTTAAGGGGTTGAAACCACCCCCCTCAAATATTACAATATTTTTATTTAAAAACGGTCAAGTTTCCGAAAAACGCTTAAACACGTATATTTTATTTGTTTATTTACATATTTTAAGATTTGCATGCAAGCAGGGTGTTTCAAAAATCTGGTCATTGATTAATGACGATCCTGCTTAAAGCGTCTGACGTAAAAAGCTGATTTTTGGAAAAACGGATTGACTTTAGGGTGTAGAGGTTTGATAAAAGCGATTTTCCGAAATTCGAATTTGCTGGGGTGAAACCACCCTCAAATATTAGAATATTTTTATTTAAAAACCGCTGAGTTTTTCTGGAAAAACTCTTAAACACTTTTATAAAAGTATTTTCTTTATTTTGTTGTTTTACATATTTTAAGATTTTTAAAAAAAATTTATACAGTGTCTTTCATGTAAAATATGACTATTGAGTAATCACGGTTCTGCTTAAAGTGCTTGATGTTTAAAGCTGATTTTTGGTAAACGGATTGACTGTGTAGGTTCGATAAGGAGGGGTTTCTCGATTCTCAAATTCCAAGAAGGTGAAAACGCCCCTCAAATCTTACAAGGTTTGTTATTTAAAAAAACGGTAAAAAAAAAAAAAAAAAAAAAAATTATTAATTTATTTTGTTTTTTTACATATTTTGAAATTTTTAAAAAAAAATCATACAGGGTGTTCCAAAAAATAAGTATAATTCTCCGGATTAACCACGATTCTGCTTTAAACTGCTTGACGTAAAGAACTTATTTTTGGTAAATGGATTTTTCGAAATTCCAGTTCCAGGGGGGTGAAACTACCCCTTAAATATTACTATGCCAGGGTGTCCCAGAAATAAGCGCAAATATTTTAAGGGCTGGTAAATCTTGATAAAAGAAACATATTTCTTTTCCTCTATCGTTTTTCGATTTAAGTCCGTAAAATAACGAGTTATTTTACTTTGAAAATTTCCAAAAAAAATATTTTTTGTAAAAAATTTTGAGAACCACTGGATCTTTCTGATTTTACTAAAAAATTTAATCTACCACCCATGTTGCCATATTAACAAGAAATTGTTTTTAACTAAAAACTAAAAAAAATTCCAAAAATTTTTTTGAAAATTCGAATTTGCGGAAAACCCTCATATGTTTCTGGGGGGTTGAAACCTACACTCTCAGTTAAAATATTTGCACTTACTTATGGGACAATCTGTATAATAATATCGCCATATTGTTTTCCCTCATGCTGACATAAATGTGAAAAAATTTTATCCAGTTTGTATGTTCGATGCCACCTGACGCGAACGAAGTCGCGTGTACACCGCTAGTTAATATATAAAACAGCCAATCGACGGCTGTCTAATAAATAGGATGTTACTACTTACCACGCTTCTGGTTTTCTAAGGGCAGTGGCATTAAGGGCGGTTGGCCGTTTTTTGCCAAGTAGGCTATGCTGCGCTTGTAGTTAGAGTCATCGTCTTGTTCGGGTGGGTTCTTGTACCAAGTACCAGCTCTGGCCAGCGCTTCAAGGTTACGTTTGTGTTCGTCAGGTAGATTACTCCAGGCAGCTAAATAAGCCAAATCTCTGTAAAATAATATTTTTCTTACTTTTTTAATTTAATTTAGTTTAATAAGTTACCTCTCTCAGCCCTCTCATCTAAGTCCTGCAGTTTTCGTAATAATTGGCGTCTCAAAGCTTGAACTTGTATGGAATCGTTTTCGTCAGGATTGAGTAAGACTCGTAGAGTGTCTGATATTTCACTATCATGTGAACCGTCCCCTCGTAAACCATTAAATATTACAGTAATACAGGGTCCTACAACAGGGTGTTGGGAATCTATAGTTTCTACAGGGGTCCAGCAATAGTGCGTCGGGCTCCTAGAATAAAAAACTTGAGAATTTGCTTCAACTGCAAAACCTTATTATACAGGGTGTCCAGAAATAAGTGCAAGTATTTCAAGGGGCGGTAGATCTCGATAAAGAAACATATTTTCTCTTATTGTTTTTCAAATAAGTCCAAAATAACGGAGTTATGTTACTTTTTACTTGGGAAATAGCTTTTGGATAAAATTTGAGAACCACTGGGATCTTTTCTTTCGGTATTTTCTTGTAAATTTAATCTACTACCTATGTTGCCATATTATCACATAAGAAAAATTATGTTTTTTTTAACTAAAAAAACTCAAAAAGAAATTTCCAAAAAAATTTTTTTTGCTAATTTTCAATTTTTTTGCGAAAAAACCTCATAGGCGTGTTTCTCTCTTGGGGGTGTGTGAACTATATTCCCCAGTTAAAATATTTTGCACTTATTTCTGGGACACCCTGTATATACGAGGAAGTATTTCAGAAAAAATATTTTTAACATCTACAAAGTGGCTCAAAAGTGTTAGTGGATCGGGGCGATTTTTTTTCTCAAAAATTTCCTGAAATTTTAAATATTTTTTTTTTTTTTTTTTTGTATTTAAATTTTTCTTTCTAGGAATGGTTAAAATTAACATTTTTGTATTTAAAGTATTTTCAAAATTTTTAATGGTTTTGCAGATACACATAAGTTATTATATGGCTCTTTCAACGGTAAAATACGAGGAGAGAAATAATTGGGTGGTTTGATAAAAAAATTTACTATGGAAATTCCATATGAAATATGCAACTAAGCGCCATATGAAACCGTTAAAAATTTGAAATACTCTAAATATAAAGAAAAATGTCCTATTTTTACCCTCCATATATTGAAATAATAATATAAAAAAAAAAAAAAAAAAAAAAACAAAAGAAAAAATATTTTTATGATGAATGTTTGGCGTAGAGTTTTGAACACATCTCTGGAACTATTGAAATATATTTACCTTCATATTTTAGATTATGTAAACTCGTCTAAAAGGGCGCCAAAAATGCAATATTATACAGAGTGTTCCATTTAAAAAAATCAACCCGATCCACTCACACTTTTTGAGCCATAGCCTCCAGAAGTTAAAAAAATATTTTCCTGAAATACATCCTCTAGTACATTTTTATGTTTGCACTCTGAACAAATTCCCAATTATTTTCGGACACTGTATAATAAAGGACTTAGAGGTTTTTAAGGCGTATTTAGGCTTTTTAGCTTTTTGATAAAGTAATTTATTATGTTAGGCTTATTGCCATTTTTTATATTAAGGCTTTTTAAAGTATCATTACCCCGAATCTCTGTTAAATCGTTAAAAAGATAGTGATACTTTTTATACAAACAATGTTACATTTTTAATTTCATTTCTCACTACTTAATTTTAACTGATGTTTTCTAATAGATTATTTAAATCTTTAAGGTCTGTTACAAAATTTCTTCTTGGTACCCATATTAAAACTCTTTAAACCAATTAGCTAAGAGCACGAAAAAAGGTCGAAAAAATATTTTTTTGTTATTTTATATTTTAGTCTTTTTTATTAAGCCAGACTTAAAAGAAAAGCAATAAAAAAATTTCGACGAGTATTTGAGAGGAGGGAAACTTATTTTGTAATTAGTTACCATCAAAAAGCGTCTTAAATATAAGGTTTTCTAAAAACGAAAATTAATAATCTCTGAAATTAAATTGTTAAAAATTTAAATATAATGATAATTTTGTGTGGGGCAATTTGAACCTGCTTAAGGCTATTTCCAGCAGCACCTAATCTTTTAAAATTAAAATTAAGTGCTGTTCGTTGACAAGCGCACCACTTAAGAACGGGGTAACTCGATTTAGGATGTTTTATAAATAAAATATTCTGTAGTACGGATTTTGAATTAAAACAGGCAAAGTTGTCTGGAGAATTGGAAAGTTTGAGATAATTTAAAAGTGCTTATTTCTATAAATTAAAGAATCACGTATGATCAATTTTATCGATAAATATAATATTTATATTTTATACAGTTTCCTTTTAGCCTGTTGAAAATTTAAGAAAAAGTTATAAAAAATACTTAAAATATAGTAATTTTTATGGATTTTGTGACCATAACTCATGAACGTATGAGACCCCTTTTGTGTCCGAAAAGAATCTGTATTCGAAAGACGCAATGGTAATTTCAATTATTAAAATTTATGAAGGTTAATATTAAGTTCAATATTTAGACAATCTAGAGCTGTAGCTTTTCTATTCTCCATGTGACCTTAAAATAAAGATCCAGAATAGAACAAGTTCACCCAAGTTCAACCAAATGAAAACCTTGATCACAAAATCAGAACCTGAAGACTAGAACTCGCGCGTCATATACGTATGATTAGATATTATATTTCCTCAGTTTTTTGGTTTTGAAAGTTGGATAGTTAATCCTACTCTAGAAAGAAATTTGGAAGACTTTAAAATGTATTTGTACAGAAGGGTTATTCGCAGAATATGGGTACAAAAAAGTAACAAACGAAGAAGTTTTCAGGCGTATGAAATAACAAAAAGAACTATTAACAGTAAAGCTCAAAAAAGGAGCTATACAGGGTGAGTATTAAATAAGTGCAAATATTTTCAGGGCTGGTAGATCTCCATAAAAGAAACATATTTTCTCTTTACCGTTTTTCAAATAACTCCAAAATAACCGAGTTTTTTTGAAAATTTAAGAAAAAAATTTGATTTTTTGGTTAAATTTTGAGAACCACCGTATTTTTTCTGGATTTTCTTTCAATTATTTTTAAAGAATTTTAAAATTTTCAAATTTTAAAAAAAAACTCATAGGCGTATTTCTGGGATCGAAATATGCTACCCCTAAAACTATTTGCACTTATTAAAGACTCACCCTGTATATCTTTATTTTTATATTTTCCATGTAAATGTCGATTTTCTTTGCCTTGACTTAGGGTTGCCAACCGTCCTCTATTCCAGAGGACACTCTTCTTTTTAGTTTTTTAGTCCTCCTTGAAAAAATCCTCTTTTTTTACATACCAAACTCAAAATCTAAAAAATTTTCGTGTATCGCCACAATGCTTTAAAAATTGTTAAGCTGTCTTTTGCTACTCCCACTCGTTTGCACAGAAAAGAAGTCAAAGAAATATTTATGTAAAAGAAATATTTGTGAAAGCGATAAACATGTTTAACTATTTTATGTTTACTTATTGTTGGCTAATGTTTTGAAAAAAAGTTTTGTTGAAAATGGTTTGTTTTATTTTAACAAGTTTTGTGTAAAAAATATTGTTAAGAAAGTAAGAAAGAGTATCAATCGCATACCATTGATACAACTGTTGAAAATTTTAGACATTTAGGCGAGGGGTCCCCTATCTTTATTTTGAAAGTTAGCAACCCTACTTTGACTCCGCCTGTCATAAGCGATCTATTTATCTTGTATCATATAGTTTAGAATTCATATTTTAGACCTCTTTAGCTAATTTTAGTCTTTGACTTATATTTTTATTTAAACGTTCATCTTCTTTGCTTCGACTCCACCTGGCATAAGCGTTTTTTTTATCTTGTATAACAGTTCATTATACATATTGTTAGCCCCCTTTAGCTGATTGTAGTCTGTTAATGCCTTCTTTAGTTTTTTTAGTTGCCACTTTTAGTTGCATTTCTTCTTAGTTGCTTTTTTATTACCTTTCTTTATTAGTCTTTCAAAGGTTTTTTTTCAGTTGTTGTAGGTATAGTTTTTTTTAAATTTTTTTTTTGGATTATTTATTAAATGTTTGTTCCAAATTTGCAAAACTGAAAACATATTGTCGTTTATCGTTATAAATCCATAAATTTAAAATATCGCCAGACGAAGCGTCCTAATGAACTTGCCTTTTAGAAATGGTTTCTCCATATCATTCGATTGTAAGCCCCATCAACTGCACGGCATAATTTATCATCGACACGAACCTATTCTGTACAGATATTAATGTCAGTATCACGCTATACCAACAAAATCAATTTTCGTTTACGATAAAAGAAAAAAAGACGTAATTAGTTGACATAACATTATAGGCATTCGGTGAAAGATGTGTGTTCTAAATAATATATATATTCCATTATAGCAAGTTTTCTTAAAAACACTGCTAATTTAAAAAATTATAAACTATTTTTTGTTGTAAAATGAGTTATAATAATAAGCAGAAAACACCTGCTTAGTGGCTCTTTCCTTGTAAATCATTTTTTTTTCAAGGGTCACAAAAGTATTAATTTTTGCGACGTGATTGACAATATCAAGGGACAATATAAAAAAGTCATTTTAACGTCTAGACAAAAAAGTTGCCATCAAACTTGCGTAATCAGAGTTTCTCGATATATAATTACATACGAGTTATTACTTTTAAATCTTTTTACATGAACGTTTGAAATTATTTAAAAAATACTTGTGGCGTTTGGTAAAATTGGGAAATAAATAAAAAGTGCCCGGTGGCGTAAAGAGACATCTTTCGTCTACCAATCTAAAGGTTTTGAGTTCGAATCTTCCAGCCGGTAGTTTATCAGCTGAGTATTTTTAATAAAATGAAAATAGTGTGGGTACCTAGGTTGGTACTCGGGATTCACAATTCTGAGGTAATAATAGGCGGTTGAAGCGTAGTCCTAGCCATATTACCTTCCTTGTATACATGAAGCTTTTAACAGGGTTAGCAGGCTCTAGCAGGGAGTTGTACCTTTTCCAATGCGTTAAACGCTATGCCATTC